GAGGTTGCTGTGAGCTGTGATGACACCACTGCACTCTAGCCCAGGTGACAGAGCAAGACTCTGTCAAGAGAAAAGAAAAGAAAAGAAAAGGGATGAGGGGGGAGAGAAGGAAGGGGAGGGAAGAGAAGGGGAGGGAAGGAAAGAGCCTACGGCTGCACCGGTTACTAGTTCAGAAGGAGAAAACGCTAAAATGGAGATACAGTGCAGAAAAACTATTTTTATAGATTTTCTTTTCAAGATGTTCAACATTCATACAGGAAAGGTAAACTCTGCAGAAGAGAAAATCCCTAAGTAAACGTGACATACACTTACCTGTGCCGATGCGATCGAGTGTGGCTATGGCACTTAATGTCAGTATCACTTTGTTGGATGTCTGATAACTCCAGACTGGGTTTAGCGACGTGTACCATATGCGGAGAACAACAAGAAGAATCTGTCCTAAAATGAATCCCCAGATTCTGAGGTACCTGTAAGTGCAAAAAGATTTTTAAATACTCTTTATGTGGATTCCATGTACTATGTCCACCATGAACTTCAGTCTCACAGAAGGAGTGTCTGAAATAGCCTCGTTGGTAATTTGCAGTAATGAATGTGACTTGATATAGTCCATTACCTAGGTAACTTGTTATAATTTTTTAATCCTCAAAACATTGTTGAGATGGATGGCAAGTATTGACATCCTGATTTTGTGAAAAGGAAAAAAAAAAAAGATTTCTACAAGGCTCTATGGAAGGTAAAAACTGTAACTGGGAACTCCTGGCCCTTTGGTAAGTGACCATACTTCTTTGTCTGTAAGCGCATAAGATACGAACCGTACCTTTGCAAACTGCTTCCCGACCACCAGGTCACGGCTTGCACTATCAGAGAGGAAGACACGCCAACCGCTAGGAGCGCCAGTCGAAGGGCAGCATTTGGAGCCTGGAAGGAGGCTATGCTACCTGGAAACGAATTAAGCAGAGCAAAGCATTTCTGGCAGGCATGCACTGGTATTCAATGATCTGCAGTGGATAC